GGATCGGTCGTGTTAAATATATGTTTAATATATCTTGGAAAATAATATTGAATAACAATGGATTATCGATTGTCTTAAAATATATGAATTTACTAGATTACGAATTAAGAATTGAATTAAATGGTAATAGGGAGATTCACAATTTCAATACAAACATTTACATATTAAATAAATGCTTCATTTAAGGAGGCATCTAGGTGATACTCTATTTCTATTGTATTGCCTCAATAGTCCCTGTGCAAGGCATACATTTTCAATCAAGCTCCTCCCTTCTACAAAGGCTGCCAACTATTGGTCAATGATAGAACCAAGAATAGGCGCTAATCTGTTGGATAAGATTTTATTAATCACCTTATAAACCACGTTGCAACATGAAATAGGCTTGAAATTCCCAATTGTGGATGAGTGGCTGCCTTTCAGAATCAAGGCTATGACCGTGTGACTAATTTGTTTAAGAAGTGAGTTGGAACTGAAAAATTCAGTAATAGCATCAACAAAATCACTCCCAACCATCTCCTAAGCTTTCTTAAATAAGCATGAAATGTATCCATTCGGTCCCGGGGATTAATCATCCCCAATGTTGAACAAAAATCATCATTAATCTCCTGTATAGAAATATCCCTAACAAGGGATTCCGCGTGTTCCTGAGAAAGAAATAGCTCTTCATCAAAAATATTTCCATCGATGGAAGCACACGCACTATTTGTCCCAAGCATGTTATGATAGTAGCCTAGGAATTCAGCCACCACCTCCGTTTGGGAATTCGTAAGAGTCATGTCCTCCTTGATTACAGCTACAATGAAATTCCTCCACATTTCTTTTAACCAAAGAGTTGAAGAATTTCGTACATTTATCACTTGCTCAAATATGCACATTTGGCTTGTTGGTAATAAAAACTTCTCTTTGTATCACAAATACCCACATGTTTTCGTAGAAATGCAACCATGCTTCGCAACTTAATATTCATCGGTTGATCATGTAGTTCCATTTGAGCAGCATTGAGATCATTTCTAGCTTTCTCAGTTCAAATAGAAATGTGAGTAAAGTGTTTTTTATTGAGTTGATGCAAAATTTCTTTAAACCCCTGTAACTTTCTACAGAGAGTAAATTGTTTTGTGCCATAAATCTGTTGGTTTCAATCGGAAGAAACTACATTCTGAAATTCTGAATGAGCCGTCCACATATTGAAGAATTTAAAGTGTGTGCCTTTGTCTCCATCTTGCTGGAAACGTGAGACAATGCATGGGCTAGTCGTCCGAGAGACAACCCGTTGGTTGGAAATTCACGAAGGCATGAAAACCTGCTTACTTTCACTAACCATAACTCTATCGAGTTTGCTCCAAACTGGAAGTATGCTACCCAATGAATTTTTGGACCAAGTATAATAGCATCCAATGGATCTCAAGTGTGTAAGACCCACAGTCAAACAACAATTTGCGAAGTCCCTAGTCTCATATGGAGTTACCTCCACTCCATTACGATTTTCCTCGAATCGAAGCACATTATTAAAATCACCCACGATCATCCAAGGTATCGAACATGTAGCTCCAAAATCAATCAAGTTACTCCATAATGTCCTCCGAGTAACAATAGAATGGAAACCATAAACAAAGCTTAATAGGGGGAAGAAATTCACAAATGGTATATTTCATTCTGAACCAAGACTAGAAATCACTCCATTACAACAAAGTAAAGAGGTAAATTATTAACAATAAGTAGATAATTATCAAATGTTTCGGAGAGGAAGGAACAAGTATCCTCTTGCTTGAATTGAAAAGCGAGTTCTTTCTTTGCAGTAGCAAAAATGCACGACTCTGCTCATTTTCCATCACCATCGCCACCATATTGTGTAGAGTTTCCATTCCAAAAGGCATTTCTGTCATTGAATCGACTATCATCCTCATGTTTCAAGGTGTGGATGTTTCCACCAAATCCAAAAGGTTGCTGCCTGCTCCTGCTGCCTGTAGACGTATTTTGATCAGTGGAGGGTCGATCAACACCCCTTGGATTATTCACAATTGAGGAGTTTGGACCTAAAACATGAATATCCATGTATTAGTCGCAATTTCTACAACAGACTTTAAAAAGAAAACAAATATCTCTTTTGTTCCAGAACTAGATGAAGATAATATCAAACACTTCATTGAGTTTCAATTCTCAAAGGTAATAACACTATAAAATCATCCCTTTGTGTCAAATTTGGTATTATCTGTGATCAACGACTGAAAAATTCCATAATTTACAATAAAGTTAATGGGATCTGCCTCCGAACTTATGAAACAAGACAAGAAAAATCAAACACTTTATTGAGTTTCAATTCTCAAAGGTAATAACACTATAAAATCATCCCTTTGTGTCAAATTTGGTATTATCTGTGATCAACGACCAAAAAATTCCATAATTTACAATAAAGTTAATGGGATCTACCTCCGAACTTATGAAACAAGACAAGAAAAATAAATTGGTGGAAGCCCCCCTCCTCTTCCCGACACGCACAATCCGAAAGGAAAAAAATTTTAGTATAAAACAAAAGAAAAAGATAAAACCATGACCAGAGCGCAATGGAACAAGAACAATTCTAGGGTCATGTCACTATAAGCACACAAATGCCATTATGCTACCGTCACCCTTCAAAATTACAAAGACCACTGCCATGGCCATCCTTCCCGAAAAACCCAACAATTATCACCAATTACATAACATGGATATTATCACCCATCAAAACCACCTAAAAGAGCCAAAATCCACAACTGAAAACAACAACACAGCACCACAGCCACAGGCCCAACTCCTTGAAACACTCATTTCCAAATCCATGAATTGTAAATCTACCATACGACCAGCAAAAAAGGGTCAGAATTGTCAATGGCATCCAACCATTGCTACCACCTAACCCATCATAGTATAATAAGACCATCAAGTTTGGGTAGACATATTTTGGATCTGATGAAGAAAAGCAAAAACACTTCAACTCAGTCAATCAATTTCATCCTAATTTGGGTGCTAGATACAACGTTAGTTCTCCTAATTCGGGTGCTAGATACAACGTTAGTTCTGTTCAAGTGCTCTCTGATTTCAAAGCTTTGTGGTTTTTTGGGGGAGATGGACGTGGTGCTGATGGTGGCAGCAACAATGGTAGTCTGGCATGATATAGCTCTCAGGAAGGTGTACGAATCTTCAGGTCAAAGTTAAACCAAGTAGAAAATGAGACAAAAAGAAAAAGGGAGCATTTTGTTGAGAGCTTCTCTATCCTTCACTTATATTTTTTGTAGCCACTCCCAAGCAGAGATAAAGGAAAAGTGTTGGAGTAACCAAGATGACAAAAATCATAAAATGGTCAGGATGCTGAAATGAATTATTCAACAAAGTTTTGACGGGCTATGTCTGACACAGGTGTAGTGAAAAGTGGCTGAGAACTAGACAGGACGTACTTCCTAAGTGGAAGAAAAAATTAACAACTCAGATGCAAGAATTAAGCGAAGTTTCACACTCCAATCTATGGAGGAGGATAAAGAAGTTAGTCTGGGATAGTAGAATTAGGTTAAGAACCCAAAATTAGAGACATGAGAATTCTTGAACTAAAAGATATGATGCATTGTAGCGAAGACAACTTAACTTTGCCAACAAGAGATGAAACAAGTAGAAGGTAAAAGAATTCAAGAAAACTGCATATAACTTTTGCATAAGGGTAAAGAAAAGAGCAGAAATAATGTAAGAATAATAATTAAAAAACTATCAAAAAGATAAGGTGTCAGAAGCTAAGCTCATCAAGAATAGGATTATGAATTTCTTATTCTTTATAAGTTCAAATGTTCTGCATATTGAATAAGATTAAGCAATAGAGCAGCATTTTGGGTAGGCACTGATTTGTTGATTTAGGCAGATCCTAGTCAAAATAATACCTTTGTTGAAGGAGATTTGATAGTCATGTAGGGAAATGAATTCGTGATATGCAAAAACACGTGGAATTTTTGGCTTTAGGTCAAAATGAAGAAGGTAGCACTATTTTGGTCTTCGGGGCAGTTCACCGTTGATGCTAGCAAATGTGTGCTTCATTAAAGACACCATCACTTGATGACTTTCACAAGAAGCAAGAGTTTAGATAAATAGATATATTTCGTACTAGGGAATAGAGAGACAAGTCAATGACACAAATTATTCAACAAATTTTAGTCCTGCTGCAACTGACCCAGGTGGTAGTGACCAGTGGGCTAGAATTAGATGGGATTTACTCCATAAGTGACATCAAGGATTTCACGTTTCAACGGGGTAAAGATGAATAAAGACAGTAGAATTAGGGTAAGAACTTAAAATATACATGTGAAATTCTTAGAACTAGAAGATGTAACACAGAAGGAAAGTCAAAATAACTACACACACACCCTGTGGTAAACTTTCGCATAATTGTAAGGAAATGAGTATAAATTATGTAAAAACAAACATTATTCAGGGAGAAAGAGATAAGGCGGCAGTAGCCAAACACATCAAAAGTAGGATTTTAACAGTCAAGAAAAGAGTTGATAATTCTTATTAGCATGTAAGTTTCACAAATAGAATTAGATACGGCAACAAAGCAACATTCTGGATAGACATAGTTGTGATAGATTTAACAAACCCTAGTCAAGATAAGATCTTCATTGAAGGATATTTTAACGGTAATGCGGGGAAAATGGAGGAAATAAATTGTCAAATATACTGAATTCTTGGGGATTTAAATAGTCAGGAGTCTCGTTTAAGTTGAAATTAAGTTTAGAAACCAAAGAACATTCCTTAGGGTGATCTAACTTTGTTCTAATCTAATAAAATATAACATTTCGATGAAATAATCAAACAAATGTTCGGACTTTGAAATTCTTGAAAATTTGTGAAATCCCACTTATTCCACGAAGCAAGCATACTCTTAAGACTAAACACGAACAATGGCCCCAGCATCAACTCAGCCACTTATTAGAGCTCAGATCATAAGATTCTGTATTCAGCATACAGAAAGATGTTCAGCTAACATGGTGTACTGTGGATTAACCATGAAGTTCACTATAGAAAATCATTCAAGGTGCCTATTTCCAGTGATTTTTTACCCATGTTAAATTTTTAAAAGAGGTCAGAGTTACGTAACTTACCATACTGCCATGAGCCACTTTGTGATTCCTGAGCAAGACTCGATGAGCCACCCCCACCAAGATAGGAGAGAGGATTCACATAAGATAAAGCTGTTTTCAGCAATGCCCAATACCCTTGATTGCTACCATTTGAAGCACCAATATCACTGGAAGAGTTAGTTTGATAAGATGACGACGATCCTCCTTTGAACTGCAAATTACTTCCCTTACTCGTAACCACTACTAATGCTTGTCTTTTGGTCAGACCCAATTCTGATAATGTGCTGTCCAAATCTGTGCAAAAGGAAAAAAATATATATATAAAAATAAAAATACAAGACAAGTCAAGAAAAGACAAAAAGATCAAGGGTGAACTATTCGCAAAGTGAATAAAATAGTGAAGAAAATAAACTAGCACAATCCATTGAATACAGTAGACATGACCCTAAAAAAAAATGAACTAGCATATTTCCATTGAATAGATGGTCCAGCGACACAGAAGTAACCGAAGAACTAAGATTTCTTTAGGAATTTTCCGAAGAACTAAGATTTCTTTAGGAATTTAAAGACATAATAATACGCACAAAAAAAAATGATCATATGAAGTCGAAAAAAAAAAGTTAAAACTTTAAATAACAGAAGAATGACACTTCACCCCTCGGCCCAGAACACTTTTTTCCATTTGGATCACAGCGCCCATCCACCTCATCTCCAGTGCACTTTGGTAACATCTTAACAATGAATCCAAAAAAAATAAAAAAAGCTAAATCAATACCATCATATTGGTAATTGGAGCATACCTTGGTCACTGAAAAGCTTGCGGGGGTATGGAATTGCTAAATTATAAGAGCCAAAGCTGTTTGATTGATTTTCATTTATATGATTTTTGACCGTTCTCAAGGTGGTCATCCTGGAGAACTTCACTTGTAAACTGGACCCATCAGGCAATTTAACATTTAAAAACACATCATTTGATTGAACAGCAGAGGAATCTGAAACATCAGCGGAATCTGAAACATCAGCATTCTCAACTTGTTCAGTATTCTCTACATCAAACTGTGCTTCTTCATTTGCCTTGCTGGAAATCTCACGAGAAACATCTTTGCTGACTTCCAAATGATGGTCACGGGAGTCCACATTTTTGTCTGGAATAAAATGGTCAACTTCAGAGTTATTTGGATGTACTTCTAAGGGATTCAGCGATATATTTTCCGTTACAGATGTGGAAGAATCCCCATTAAGAATCCATTCAGAATCCATCTCCTGTCCATGTGAGAGATTAGGTATTAGAACCAAATCTGATATAGTAGGAGAAATTTAATACCCAAGCCACAATAAATTTCACCTGAGAAGCATCTTTGCAACTGTTACTGTCATCTGTTTCCACAGAATTCGACAACTGTTCAGCATGCAGAGATTGAACTTGATTATCCGTTGATGATGGAATATCAGTCTCATGCTCCAATGAGGCAGTTTCAGAAGTCCCAGTAGCCTGTTGTTTCTTAGAAGCAAGTGCAGCAGTCAAGAAAGCTGCGGTCGACTCCTGCACAGACATTCATACTATGTTTGGCCAAAATATGAAAAATCATAACTGAAGCAAAGCAGGCATAAGTCACTTGGTTTAAATTCTGTTATTAACACATGTACATCTGCCTAGGGTAGTTACAATAAAAAAATGAGAAATTTGCAGCCATAGTCCCAAACTTTGACTAATGTAGCACTTTGGTGCCCATTCAAATTTTTTGGTGTTTAGATACCAAACTTTCAATTTAGGTGCACGTAGGACCCCACTAGATAGAAACCATCTTTTTTTGTTATCACGACTTGCATGTGATCTCTTTTCCGGATAGAAAAGGGGCATAGCCAGCATGAATGTTATCAACAAATACAATATTATTGATTTGGTTCAGTTAGTTCCATAGAAGTGTTGCAATAAAATTAAATAGGTTTGATCCCATCTTAATTTAATTAAATTGTACAGCATGACACTGCTGATCCTGCTACAGGCAACTGATAGTATGATATAAAAAATGTGGCAGTGTAGTAATTATTATGCTGATAGAAAGAACTCATAAATAATGGAAGTGCTGCCAAGAATTTGTACAAGGACAAACACAGGACTAATATGAAAGTATGAAAGGAGTCTTTGATTTCTAGGCGTGAGCATACTATCTCACTTTTAACATACAAAGGGTATGTGAAAAAGTACATTGGTGACATGAGTAACTAAACCAGAAGCAATGTTAGGTGAAAAGTAATCATGAATTAGAACATTGAGTAAACTAGCATCAAAAATTCATGGTCTGAAGGCTGAAGGATCAAAATACAAGGTGGTAATTTCGAAGGAAATCTCATATTTCTAAATTCACTTTGACCAAACCAGTTAATGTTATTCAAAGGAAAACAAATATGCATATGTCAAAAAATTTACATCTTTAGGTAGTGGTAATGCCCAATACAAAAGCTGTGCCATAAAAAATTGCATTTGCATTGGCAGCAATGGTAGACATAGACCTGAATATTCTAACGGGTATAACAAAAGCCAGCATCAGCCTACCTGAACATGAAGACTTAACCATGCCTTCTCAAGATTGGAAACAAGAATATCAGCAGTGACAAATCCCTCTAAAAATTTCAAAATCACAAAAACAAGATAAAAAAGTAAGGAGGCCAGAATCAGTTTGATTTAACTGATATAAAAAATAAAGTTCCAGTTCTAAGGAACTCTATACCTTTTTCCCACAGACGTACACCATTGTATCCAATAGCAGTTATACATGGGACAGAATTGTGTGGATCTGTAGAGTTTGATGCAAGGTACAAACTTCATATCTTGCTAATGCTTCAAAATTTATATGGCATATACTATTCAACTAAGCACTACACGATATGAAATGCCAATTGATCTGATACTAACACTTAGCTGGGTTCAATTAGAGGAAGTATACGTTCCTCCATTCTTGTTTGGTAAATAAACTGGAGGGGAAAGGAGGGAAGATAAAGATAGAAATAGTGGCATAAGAGAGAAGATAATGGTTTGTGTACTTTTCAACTCCCTCCCATCCACATTTTTCAATGCAATGCATTGAATTGACAAGGAGTTTTTAGACAACAGTTGAAAAGGCCGTTGTCTAATATCGTGTGCATGAAGCCAAGGACATTTTTAAGAAGCGATATATATTTTGGAAAGTGTACATAGGACGTCTCAATTCGCAAAAAGGAAACTGGAGCATTCAGATGTTGAGGGAGCAACATTATTTTATCATCTCAAAATTTGATTGAGAATACTTATATTTCTAAATCTTCATTTCCTCTTTTGCTTCACCCTCATTGTTCATATCTTGATAGAGGAAGAAATTCCATCCCTCCCAAAACTCATACAGAAAATTTAATCAATTACTGAAGAACTTTCACTCTTCAACATTTTGCACTTGTTTCGTGGCCATTTTTGGAGAATGCGATTTAAGTATACTGGGATTGTTCAGTGGTCCAATTGTCTGTCAAAGCATGTAAACTAACTCCCGCATGTTGAAGATAGAACAGGAAATATTTTGACCTTATGAACCAAAATTAAATACACATTCAACAGAAGACAAACAATTACAGTGTTCTAAACACCAGGCTTGCTAGGCAAGTAAGATGAACATGTCTACTCAAACACATCGCAGCAAATATGCATGTAACGTGCTCATGAGGAAAGTCTTTACCATGATTCTCGCTTCAATAAGAGTCTTCAAGATTCAAAGATTAAAAAGAAAAGGCTTAGAGACATTTTAATCTGCCCTTCACTCATTTTTAGCAAATTCTGCTCGTACCATTTTTCAAAAGATGACCCAAATTCACCTTGAGCAGTGTATGGTGTAAACTATGTCATAATGTCAACTCTAACAAAGAAAAGACATTTTATTAATTCACGATAATGCAGTGCCATTTGCAGGTAGAAACTTCAACAGAAGGATACATATTGCCGAAAAGTTTGTTGCATCCGAGCTTCCTTCCAAGATGTGTAACAAAATGCAGTATTTTGTCAATGACTCCGCAACCTGAACACAGCATGTGACATAAGAACAGAGAATATTTTCTTTTCCATTGTCATTTAGCCAATCATTTTAGAGAACTTACATTCAGATCGCTCCAGATGGATGTTTCTAAAAGTTTCGACTCTGGATTTTCGCCTAACACGAAAAATTAAGATAAAACAAAAATAAATTTCCACTTTAGTGCTGACTAAAAAATGATATGGGAAGTTACTGATTGTCTTACTGGAAGCAGTCATACATCATGTAAATGTGTCCCGTGAATATTAATATTCAAAAATTTGTCATAATTGCATACAACGTAAAACGACAAATAAAGGTTTTTATCTTAAAGCAACAACAATGAAACACTTGCAAGCACCAAACGTATAAATAGTTAATACAAATAAGCATGTTGTATCTTAATTCTATATAAATTGAATCCGTTATCAGATTTAACTAGCTAATCTGAAACAGTGTTTCTAAATGTGCTTGCGAATTACACCTTGAGGCATGCCTTGTGTAAGGTGTTATCCAGCCTTACCTCCAGACTTACAAAGAGGAGAGAACAAGAAATCAAGATAAATAGAATTGTCTGCATTTCCACACAAAATTTCAAACAAGAAATCTTAAATGTTGGAATATCTGTAGTAAATATAGAATTTTTTTCTGTAGTAAATATAGAAATTTTTATCTTTAAAACTTTCTATACATAAATCATCATATACTGCATGTGAGCATTCAATAGCAAGAAACTCGATTTCACTCCCTTTCATGGTTGGGAAAGCATATTATCTGAGTGATGTAGGCCACTCCAATGCAAGCATGGACTTTTTTATGATTAAAAGAGACTTTTAGCCTCAGTATCTCAGCCTCATTTTTTTTCTCTTGTCAAGTGAATGCCAACGAGGCACTGAAGTTCCATTCTCTAGTCCCTTTATTTGTTTCTTTTCACTAATTTTAAGAAATGCTGAATCTCTTTGAACACTAGTTGCCCCCAAATGGTTTAGAAAGAATAATTGACTGAACTGCACAAACTATTGTTTAACAATTGTGTATGTGAAACTTAGTTAAACACACTGAAATCAAGTCCATATAAAAGGCACTTACCAGAAGTATAGACGACAAAGAGTTTCTTCTGTTGTTTCGCTTCAGCAATTGCTTCTGTGATTGATCCTTTAAATGCTAGGGAAGAAAGTGATTGATCCATCTACATAGAAGACATGAAAAGTTCTAAACCAGTCAAAAATCTATGGATCCTACGAATTCCATTTGAAACTTCAAAATTAAAATAATCACATACGACGAAAGTACCAACGAAAAATATCCAGTAATACAAATATTTCTGTGGTTAAGCACAATACAACCTTTAGCTACTCTAGAGAGAGGAAAAAGACGATACCGCAGAGTCTGCATTGGTTTCAAAAATTACAGCATACAAGGTACATTATTAATACTTCAAAACGATTTTGCAGCAAAATATCATTTCAATTTAACACACCCCCTCAACACCAAAAAAGGCTTTGAGCATATATGTTCACACATTCAGGCGAATACTACAAATAATATATTAATCCTTAGTCCGGTGAAAAAAGAAGCACATAGAAATCACTAACTACTAAGGTAAATAACCCTAGCACTGCAGAGAAGTCAAATGGATTTAGTATACAGATGTATCCAATGGACGTTAAATGTAGGATGCTAGTATAATTTTGCTTTCATACTATGTCAAATCTTGTAGCATTTAGAGCATTATGTCTACTTGGTAACTCTTTTCATAGCTCCAATTGTATGCTATACAGTAGTATTCCTAAATTTAACTAGCTATGCTATGGAAAGTGGAACTATTCTACTATTAAAGTCAACCTTCTATTAATTTTCTAATCACCAAGCCCTACCATTCTTCCACTGAAAATTCACATTTCCCACCTTTTAACTAATAATAATTCGCTATTGTAACAAATCAATATACAGAAATTTCATATATTCACAACCATATAAGCCAAATTTTATAACCAAGGACACGTATATCTGTATCGGTTTATTTTCAAGAAAATATGAACTGTACTTCTATTTTACAAGAACTAAAAACTATGATCAGTTGTATAAATCCCATAATTAATTTCTTCAGAAAGACTAATGAAAGGGTAATCTAATACTAAGCTGTTGCAGAATTTCCGGGCTTTATTGCTCCATTTTCCTTCATTTTTTTTTTATAGTTTTTGAATTATTTTTTACATGAACAGATCAGAAAGAAACGGGTGGAAGATAATTCTTACCTCTGCGACAATCGGGAGATTCGAAGGAAGAAGAAGAAAAGCACAATTGAATCACTTCGTTATGAACCAACGAGAATTTAATTCCTCTTTTTGTATTTATTTATTTTTATTTTCGCCTGAAAGTTGTCTTTATCCTTTTTTTCTCTCTCTTAAACTCTCTAGAAATCAATAAAAACATTATTGGTCACTAAACTTTCCGTGAAGTTTTATTCTGTCACTAAACTTAATTTTATTTCAATTTCGTCATATAACTTTCATTTTCATTTCAATTACATAACATCTTTCAAGAAAATTAATGGACTCAATCTAAAATGGCATACATAATTTGTGATGTATTCGCTAATATACAAGAAAAGGGAATAAAAACGATGACAACCGGCCAATCCCAAACTCATGACCACTAAACAGATCACTTACCATCTTTTATAAACATACACACACAATCCACAAACAACTCGAAAATCAAGAAATTCTCCGTTATATGATCAAGGCAAAACTTATCCTTTATGCAAAGCTCATCGCTTTTGCAAAAACAAAATTAACAATTGTACACATATAATTATGGGAACTTTGTTTTAAATCTTTTGATGATGATCCTAACCCTTAGAATTAGAGAAACTAGTTTTAATCAATTCGAAAGTATTCAACTTTATGTAATAGTTGACAAAATTAGTTATCCAAGTAAAATGCCTTAAAACTTCACCTAGAAATAGTTTTGCACATGGATCACACCTGAACTTTCAGAAATTTAGTAGAAACCAACTAATCAATAAATTTATATGAAGGAACAGGGTTCCAAATGCACCTTCTCCTATTCATTGACACTTCGATTAAATGATTTCATATCGATTAAAGTGGCATGGGTTTTTGTTCAGATAGACGTTAATCCAAGCGAAAGTCAAGACAGACGTACAAATGCAACCGATATTGCTGAATTTAGAGAAATTGGTGTCCCCAAGACAAAAAACTTTGTCGAATGACAATGGTGACATGGGTCTTTAGGTCATGATCGGTGATCGGTGATAAGGTATTAACTTTTCTGATAACATGCTTTTGGAATTTCTTTTGCTGAAGGCAATGAACCCGACAATGCATCTTCTAGTACTACGGGGACGCATTCATTCTCAGACCAGCACCATAAAGGGGAAATTGTTAGCGACATAAAAGGGTGCTAAGGAAAAAATATGTTATTACTGTTCGACTGTCTTCTTAGACCTTGTCGAAATGAAAATCTTGACTTCTCATTTGCTGCGCAGGAAGTTCTTCGCGAGTGGTTGTCAAGGAGAGGATTAAATGTTTCGTTGGTAGACGTTTGCCTTTCTTCTTATCCATAGTCTCAGGGGCGGAGCCAAAGAATTTGTCCAGTGCTGGCACAATTTTAGGTATCAGTTGCGGAGATTTTTTTGGTCAAAATTAGTCTATGAACGAAAAGAACTTCACGTATTCAATGCAAAGTCCTGAACAGAAATAGTTCATGTTTTTCATATTCCATACTTGTTTCAAGGCAACGACCCTCATCTCGTTTACCCGATTAGACAAGTAATTCCCGTCACATCTCCACACGTATCAAATTTAACGAGTTTTTTTTGTCAATCCATCCCCTCAAGTCTCTCTCTTGCTACAATTGGCTGCCCAACTCATAAAATAAATTGATTTAAAATTATTAATACAATTGATAGTTGATTATTCTAATTTTTTTATTAGGAGTGATGAATTAGTATCATAAAAATTATCACTAATTTATCAGTATCGACTTATCACTTATCAATCTAATACCTTAATAATAGGAAAGTCATCACTCTCTTTCTAATAATTTCACTATTTTTTTTGCAGCACACTTTCCTAGCTCACACTTTTTTTCCTTCCTTTTTCTCATTCTTTTTCTTCTTCTTCTTCTCTTATTGGTCTATTTCCTGCAGGGACACTTTTTCTTCTTCTCTTCTTGGTCCATGGCGTTTCTTGTAGGCACACTTTCTCTTCTTC